CTATTTGACAAGTTTTGTTGTTTGCTCCCTGCAGATGCAGGACTTCCTTGACGAGCGCCAGTATTTGTATGTATAATTGAGAGCTTTCCTGTTCCCTCCCTTTAGATGCAGGACTTCCTGGACGAGCACTTCCTGCGTGAGCAGGTGGAGTCCATTAAGCAGATCGCGGACTACATCGCCAACCTGAAGCGCGTCGGGCCGGGCCTGGGCGAGTACATGTTCGACCAGCACACTCTGAAGGGCGGCAAGTAGGGCAGGCACAACCCGCACCGCGACACCCGAGACAGCGGCAGTAGTAAGCCAGGCACAACTCGGACCGCGACACCCTCCGCTCACACAGCGCAATAGCCACTTTACGCAGCATCAAGTACAATCAATCAATCAATCAATCAATCATCCGCGGGCTCAGTACAAGTACAGTGAACGTTAAATCAGGACTCTAATCTAAACCCGCCGGTATTATCTTAAATATCCGTTTTAAATGCTTTACCAATAACAACACTACAACAGGAGTCTGGGCATTACAACACCCGTGATACTATTAGCATCTCATTCAAATGACATCAAATTACACACCAGGCAAGTTACATCTGAACCCCTCCAACTGTTCATGTAGCCATGCACGTGGTATATAATCTACACGCCATTACAGCATGTAACACGTGAAGTGTGCAATATACGATTCTACAAAGTAACTGAATGCTTTGCAGAAGCCTTCTGTTTCAATTAATGTGCAGAAAAATTCACTTAACACTTTAATGTAAGGCTCCAGATATTCAAGCTACTTAAAATCAAATGTCTTAGATCTTCAACTGATGACATTAAAAGTACTTGCCAATATTCGTGCCTGTTTTTCATCTCATAGCTGGTAATAAAAATAAGATGAAAATAACAAAGACTTGAGAAACGACAGCCTTCTTTATGCCCGGCTGTACAATAATCCATTCGTTGTCTGAGGGTTGAGTGAGACAAGTCATTACAACATTCTCCCTTTCCTAGACACCAAAACTATCGTAGAGGAAGATGGTAACCCCCATTTCGAAGTGTACAGGAAAGCAACCACACTGATCAGTACCTGGCCTTTGAATTCCCACACCCTTTGAACGCAAACTAGCAGTGATCAAAACTCTCTTCCATCGGGCAGACAACATTTTCACTTCAGACCAAGCCAAAACGGACGAACATAGACACCTCCTAGGTGCCCTGGCTAAGTGTGGCTACCAAAACTGGACTTTCAACAAAGCGCTGAAACCTTCAGAAGTGCAAACCATTGACCAACAAAAACAAGGTCAACATCACTATTCCGTATGTCCAAGGAGTATCTTAGAAACTCCGACGGATCTTCCAAAACTTCAACATGGCCACTAACTTCAAACCTCACTCAACCCTCAGACAAAGACTGGTACACCCTAAGGACCGACCTCACAAAGGTACCAAGGCGAAAGTTATTTACAGACTCAAATGTGAGGAGCCCAATTGTAACAACACCTACATCGGAGAGACAAGTCGACCGCTCAAAGTAAGATACAAAGAACATTGCAGACCTAGTGCCAACGGCTACTCCTCAGCTGTTTTCCACCACCTACAACACAACCAGGGTCACTCTTTCAAACTCGAGTCCACGGATATCTTAGACCGCGAAACATGCTGGTGGGAACGGGGTGTTAAAGAGGCAATATATGAAAGAATGTACAACCCCACCCTCAACAGGGAAGGGGGCTACGGGTCGAT